CTGAGCCTTACTGACCCTCATGCATTTATAATGGTATGTCTCTTTGGAGAAGGTAGCAAAAATGTTGTTATAGTGAAGTTTTCCACTGACTTTTTCAGATCCAAGTGGCTGTACTGACATCAGAAAAGCATAAAGTCCAGGAACAACTGCGAACATCTTCGGAGCAACACCAGCGTACAATGAGTGCTTGCCAGCAAAAGATTGCAACCCTGCAAGAGGAGTGCAGAGCAGCCCAGGTATTCTAGTGTAAGAAGTAATTTTAGAGACTTTAGAAAGGAGGTTTAGTGTGCTCTCTGGCTGCTTCTCTAAAGATATCTTGCAGATCTTTCACTCTTCTCTTTTTGTCTGTCAAGGATTAGGAATTACCCCCCCGTGCCTAAGGTAATCAAGTGGTAGTATAAAGGACAAGCCAGACTGTGCCTTGGTTGTCATGTGTCACTTGTGGTGGAACATCTGAACTGCACATTTAGTTTTCCAATAGGGAAAACATCGTGGTGGTAGTGGGGAGTCTACTCTGCAGGGAAAAGAGGTCTAAAGAACAAAGGAGAACAAACTCAAAAGGAATATAATTTGCTTCATATAAAACCAGTTAACACAGATACCACCTGAAGAAAAAACAAAGCTGTGAAAAATGTATTTGCAAGCACCTTTCCCTTCTTCACTGGCTGCTGAACTCTATGAGAAACTGAGGTTTTTTTGTTGTTTCTGGGATTTTTTTGTCCATATGACAATGTGTTAGATGTTCCTAGAACGTAGTGGTTTGTATTGGAGTCATAGAGTTGGACTAGGAGAACAGTAGGACTGTTAGCATTCAAACTGCCTTTCTGGAGATTACTGCAGTACTCTGTGGCTGATGTTGTGTGATAGGTGAGCAGCCTGCAGGGAAGTAACAGCTGGACACAGCCTCTCCAAGGAGGTTCTTCATTTTAATAAGGTGAACTGAAATGGACAAACTTTGTGGTTGCTGCTGCAGGAGGTTTGTCTTAGTTGTGTTGGTGCACAGGAATTACAGAATTAGAGAATCAGTTGGGTTGGAAGGGACCACAATGGATCATCTGGTCCAACCTCCCTACTCCAGCAGAGCCACCCTAGAGCACATAGCTCAGGGTTGTGTCCAGATGGTTCTGGAATATCTCCAGTGAGGGAGAATTCACAGCCTCTCCGGGCAATCTGTTCAGTGCTCAGTGACTGCACAGGGAAGCAGTTCTTCCGCATGTTCAGGTGGAACTTCCTGGGCATCAGTTTTTGCTGTTCCCTCTTGTTTTCTTGGTTTCCCCACTGAGCAGAATCTGATCATCCTCTTGGCACTTCCCATTCTTGCCCTTGAATCCATTCATGAGGTTCCTCTCCATTGTCTCTTCTGGAGACTGAACAGCCCCAACTCCCTCAGCCTTTCCCCATCACTGAGGTGTTCCAGACCCTTCAGCATCTTCCTTGCCCTCCCCTGGACCTGCTTCAGGAGCTCCATGTCCCTCTGGTCCTGAGGAGCCCAGAACTGGACACAATCCTCCAGGTGCGTAGCAGAGACACAGGATCACCTCCCTGCCCTGCTGGCAATGCTCTTCCCAATGCATCCCAGGATTCCATTGGCCTTCTTAGCCCCAAGGACACACTGTGACTCATGGACAGCCTGTTGTCCACCAGGACCCACAGGTCCTTCTCCTTGGAGCTGCTCTCCAGCAGGTCAGTACCCAACCCAGTGCTTGGGGTTTTTCCTCCCCGGGGCAGGACCTGCACTTGACTTTGGATCATGGTTTTACAAACGTATTCATCCTAACTGGGTGCTTACAGTACCTGTTCATGGTGGCTTGATCCTTGATGTTGTGCTACCAGTAAGGTTGTAGATCTTCCATAATGGATGGCTTGGAGCTATTGGGATTAGCTTTCCTCTTTAGGTGTTCTACATCTAGGAAATAGATATTATTATAAGGTTATTAACAAAAGAAAATTCAATCTAAAGGAAAAGTGGAACCAAAGGAGGTGGTAAGTTAGAAGACAGAAGTCATGGAGACGTATAAGGCTGTGCACCTTAAGGACCTAGGAATGTTCTGGCTCACATAGTCTGACAGGAAGAAAAGAGAAGGATTAATTTCAAGAAAATGCCCCCAGATGTTGCAGAGTGCAGAAAAGCTGGAGCAGTGGCTAATCAGTCAGTTCTGTGGGATTTCACTCACCAGTTCAGCTGAAGATAAACTTTGCAAAATCCTCCTCTTGAAGATGAAAGTATTTTAGCTATCTTGGGGATGACTAATGAAACCATGAGCTTGTCTTAAGATCAAGAAAGTAAACCTGCATTTATGATTTTTTAGAGGAATATTCCAACATGAGCACTTGAAGGATGGGAATAATTCTTGCTGTACACTGTACAGTCAAGGATGAAGCTACTGCTATGGTGTGAGGTAATTTTCTGTATGGCCACAGAAACTCATCTGTCAGCTGAACAGACCAAACACCTTTACAATCAAATAGAATATTTCATCTTGTGCTGTGCAAGACTGACTTAACTCCTCAGAATTATACATAACTTTAAGGCATATTAGCTTTTTGTCACCTCAGCAGTGAAGAAGGGAAACAGAATTATCCCTCTTTTCATAAGGCATATTAGCTTTTTGTCACCTCAGTAGTGAAGAAGGGAAACAGAATTAACCCTCTTTTCATTTTTTCCTTCATTTAAGGCTGTTGGTAGAACCCCTTGCTTGTGAATCTCTCAGTGGAATGCAGTTTTTGAAGTTTCAGATGTTCTTTCTTTCCTTTAATCCTGGTTATGTTGAAAATAAGTGTCTCAAGTTTCGCATTTTAGGACATTCAGTTCAAGCCTAATGAAACATGATCTGTTATGGTAATCACTGTTTCAGTTGTCCATTTCAAGGAAGAAAATGCCACAGGTGGTTTTAATATTTGTGACAATGTAAGATGCATTTTATTTTGGAGAAGTAAGGGAGGAGTAGTGAACAGCATAACATACTAAGGGTTTGTTTCTGTGTGATAGGCTGAACAAGCATCTGTGACATCTGAATTTGAGAGCTACAAGGTTCGTGTTCATAACGTTCTGAAACAGCAAAAGAGTAAATCTGCTGCTCAGACAGAATCTGAAGGAGCCAAAAAAGAAAGGTAAAACTCAAATTTTTACATGCATGCAGAAAAATAGGGATACTCAAGTTATTGAGCTTGTCTTTATTTGCTGACCAACAAGGGAGTTCCACTAATTAGCTCTTTGCTTTATTACAGAAAATAGCAGAAGCAGTTTGCTTCCCCAATTACTTGGTTTGGGGTTTTTTGGGGGTTTTTTTTTGGGGGGGGGAAGTGTGTTTGGTTTTGGTTTTTTGGGGGTTGTTTTTCTTTAAAAAAACCCTCTTCATTTGATCTGTAATCTGTCCGTGGCTCTGCCTAGCTGAACAGAAGACATATCAGTTTCTACCATGGTGGTGCTCTGTTAGTTTCTAATTCCTGGATTTCTCTTCTTAACAGTTACTTTTGTGTAGATTCCCTGTCATTACCCTTGGAAGAGAAGTAAGGTGCTAGGGAGTTTCTTATGGCTGTCCTGAGCAGAAATTAGCAGCATATTCTGTGTAGAGTTGACATGTCATTTTCTCTGACCTGAAGTCATGTAGTGAAGTGCTGTTTGAAGAAAGGAAAGAGCAGATGGTACAGTCAGCTGAGCTCACTTTGAACTTCTTCAGGAAGGAATGGTTTAGTGTAGGTAAAGTTCTGGCTGCCAATTCAGTCATCAGTTCCAGCAGATTTATGAAATGCTGTTGTCAAATCAGCTGCTGCATGAGGAGAGACTTAGAACACAAAAGGTACACTGCAAAAAATTCCCTGAAAGTCCTTTAAATATAGCCATAAGCCTGAGAAATTCAGAGTCACTTCGGGAAATGTCTCAACACAGTGCAAAAGTCCATCAGGTTCTGGAAGTTATTTTGGTAAGCTTTTGCTAGCTGCCCTTGGTGACAGACCGAGAGTTTGTGTGTCAGATGTCACAACTCACTTGACACAGATCTGAAAACAGAACCTGCAATTGCAGAGAAAAACCCAGCAGAGGGCGAGTTGTGCTTTCTTAGAGGACTTAGAGGGTTTATGGTTGGTTTGAGTTCTTTGAAATACATTCTGTTCCTTGAAGCAGGCAAACTGCAAGAGTTGCATTTCTTTGGCTCTTCTTTTGGCAGAATTTTAAGATGTTATTGTCAGTTTTTTGTGACAGAGAGTCACCTTGGAAACAAATGTGCTAAGTAATTAAGCAACAAACAGATGACAAATGGTTTCCAAAGAAATCATAGAATCGTCAAGGTTGGAGGAAACCTCTAAGATCATCGAGTCCAACTATGAACCTGTCACTGCTGGAACCACTAAACCCTAAACCAGATCCTCCAGTGTCAGATCCAGACACCTCTTCAACACCTCCAGGGATGGTGACTCCACCACCTCCCTGGGCAATATCCCAGTGCCTGAACACCACAACAGGGAAAACATTTCTCCTCACATCCAATCTGACTCTGCCCTGGCTCAGCTCAAGGCCATTCCCTCTAGTCCTCTCCCTGCAGCCATGGCAGGACACACATCCCCCACCTCTCTCCAGCCCTGGCAGGGAGTTGCAGAGAGCCAGGAGGTCACCCCTGAGCCTCTTCTCCAGGCTGAACAAACCCAATTCCCTCAGATTTTGTGAGAGAAAGTCACCTTGGAAACAATTTTGATAAGTAATCAAGCAATAAACAGATGACAAATGTGTTCCAAGGAAATGATTTACAAGGATCAGCTTCAAGGATCAATGAGATATACAGTTCATGAGATAATGGAGGTGTATATATAAATACAGAAAGCGTAAAACAAGAATGGGTGTGACTTAAGATTCTTTCCTGGTGTGTCTCTTTTTATTTGCTTCTGACTAACTGAGTTTATCTGGTTTTATGACTTTAATGTTACTTTCTAGTACTTTCCTCAAAATCAGCTCCAGCCATTTGGCTCCTTTATTTGGTCTCATTGAACTGATGTGCATTTTCTAAATGAAACAAAAGATCCCCACCACTTTTAAGAAGAATTTTTTTCTCCCATCTGAATCCCACATACTATTCTCCTTCTGTCTTGTTCCTCCAAGCCAGCTTAAAACACATAATGATAACAGTCACACTTTCTGTCACAGTGCTTGTATTCCCAGCAGCTCAGATGGGATATGGAAAACTATATCAAAACAGCACTAGAGCTTTGCTAATTGCTTCTGCTGCAGTCACATTTTCAGATTACTTTGCCCATGATGCAAAGTAATCTGATAAAGTTAATAAATAAGCAGTTTGGATCAGCTATCCAAAATGTTGTGGATAATAGTACAGGTTCAGAAATAATGTCATTAATTTTCAATGCATGTTGCTTATTTCTTCTTCTTCTTCCACGTGCAGAGAACAGTTGGAAATGGTGATAGATCAACTGAAAGCTAAGCTGCAAGATGCTCAGCACAGTTCACAGATGAATGCATCTGAACTCCAGGCACTGCAGTCAGAACATGACACCCTGCTGGAAAGGCACAATAAGATGCTGCAAGAGACTGTTGCAAAAGAGGCAGAACTCCGTGAAAAGTATGGTCTGCTGATGAATAGATACAGATATTGTACTCTGTGTGAGCTCTAAGAGCTGGGCATGTAGTGGCCTATAACTGTCCTTCTCAAAGAAAGGACATATTGTTGAGGAAGTGAAAGGAACTTTCCAAAGGATTGTTTCTGTTTCTCCTGAGCAGTCAGAGGTTTCAGCAAAGAAAATGAAATAGTAGCTGAGCAGGGAATTTCAGACTTCTGCAACCTTATAGCCTCTTAACTACAAGATTTTAAAATGAACGCTTTTTTTAAGCATGTTTACTGTTTTCAAGTCCAGTGCTCAGCAGTACATTTGTGTTGAACTGCTCAACTAAATCTTATGGATGTTTTGTATAGGTAGTTAAATGTAGGGCAAACAATTTCACAGATAAAATATCCAGTCTTGTGTGCACCAAGTGCTTTCATTACAGAAAGGATTTTAAGTTTATGCTTGCCACAGTCTTAATTTGCTGTTTCTTTCAAAATGAAAGGAATCTGTTTAATCTGTATCACATCTGGAAGAATTGCATGAGTACCTAATACCTGAGCTCCTCAAAAATGGTCTGTGCTTGTCTTTTCTTCTCTGTTTAGGGCACAGAGAAGTTTGCATGAAAGATTAGAAGTTATAGCTTGATACTAGGAACTGTTGCCTTCTTGTCATTGTCTTTGTACAGTTTTATATGTTTCTGTTAGCCATGTGATGATTCACCATAATCAACCAAATTATGTCCTGCATTTTTCTGGAAACAACCCAAACATACCAGAGTAGGTTCTTGTTATACCTAGAGAGAGAGAGAGAGAGAGAGAGAGAGAGAGAGAGAGGACTCTTTGCTACTCTGGCTCTGTTTACATCTGTCTGCTTATAAGGGCAAGTCCTACACTTAGTCTTTCCATACCTGCACTTGTTTATTTGCTTGTGACAATTTTGTCACACTTCTGGAGTATCTCCAAAGTAAGTTACTGACATCTTCTTGCTAACAGTTACACTCTAGTGCGCTGAAAGTTGAAGGTTAAGAAAATTAAACTCTGCTTCTTAGAAAACAATGTTTTTAGAAGTCCTCTTTAAGTGTTTGGTCAATAAATTTCATAGAAAATGGAGTATAGAATCATAGAACCATCAAGGTTGGAAGAGACCTCAAAGGTCATCGAGTCCAACCATTAACCTGTCACTGCTGGAACCCCTAAACCCTAAACCCAATCCTCCAGCATCAGATCCAGATGGTGGGGTTATTCCTCCCCAGGTGCAGGACCTGCAAAAGGAGGAATTTAAATGGAAAAAGAGTTGCATGATCATTCTAAGATAGTCATACACATGAAAATTGAAAAGTGCTTCAAACTCTAAAAATGTTGAAATGTCAAAATGACAATGTTTTGCTGTTTGTTTCTTACTGCTTCTGTGTACAGACTCTGCACAATACAGTCTGAGAACATGGTGATGAAGACAGAGCACTCCCAGACACTGAGTCAGCTCACGGCCCAGAATGAAGCTCTCCGGAACAATTTCAGAGATCAAGTCAGGAACCTACAAGAAGAGCACAGGAAGACAGTAGAGACACTTCAGCAGCAACTCTCCAGAGTAGAAGCTCAGCTCTTCCAACTCAAGAGTGAACCAAGCACTAGAGGTAACTTCCAGTCACAATACCAAGTTCTCCTGGGTTACATATTAGAAAGAAGTTTTTTACTCTAAGAGTGGTGAGACACTGGCCCAGGTTGCCCAGGCATGTGGTGGCTGCCCCACCCCTGGCAGTGTTCAAGGCCAGGCTGGATGAGCCTTGAGCAACCTGATCTAGTGAGGAGGTGTCCCTGCCCAGGGCAGGGGTTGGGACTAGATGATCTGTAAGGTCCATTCCAACCCCTAAATTCTATGATTCTGTTTATTGGTACACTTGCTATTGCCCCCTCTTCTAATTTATGATTTTACTGTCTTGAAGCTCAAGTGCTATTTTTGTATCTGTAAAGTTACTAATTAGGATGTAGTTGGACATTTGCCAGCAGTAACAGTTTAATAAGTTAATCTGTTATTGCTGAAGCAGAAGGATTGTGCACACAGTAGTAAACCAGAAGAATTTACACCTCCCACAGGACTGGTTGAAAGTAAAGCTAATTCTGATGTGCATTAAGAATATTTGTCACGCTTCTCATAGCTACAGCACATCTGCAGGGAGAGTTGCATGAAGGTTTCATAGTCACTGAAGTAAAAATTGCCAGCCAGCTTTGGGTTTAGAAACAGGCTCTGTTTGGAATGGCCATCTGGAAGTGAAATGCTATATCCTCTGCCAGGGGAGGTTTAGAGTGGATATTAGGAAGAGATTTTTTACAGAGAGAGTGCTCAGGCATTGGAATGTGCTGCCCAGGGAGGTGGTGGATTCACCGTCTCCAGAGGTTTTCAAGCTGAGACTGAATGTGGCACTTAGTGCCATGGTCTAGTAACCACAGTAGGGTTGCACTCAATGATCTTGGAGGTGTTTTCCAACCTGGTTGATTCTATGATTCTATGATTCTTCTTTTCTAAATGTTATATGTGATCTGGCTTTCTCTGTTTTCTTCACCTTTCCTCCCCCTACATTTTGAAGACTCTTACCTGTACCACTTTCAATCTGAGACAGTCACACCTCTCTATTTCATTCTGATGACAAACATCTTTCAGGTCCTGCTGTTCCAAATCCAGCAGCAAAGAGCTTAAGAGAACGGCGAAACGCTGACCTGCCTGTTCTGGACGTGCACAATGTAGCTAGGGAAGAGGGAGAAGGTATGGAAACAACAGACACGGAGTCTGTCTCTTCAGCCAGCACCTATGTACAATCCTTGGAACAACTTCTGAACTCATCAGAACCAAAACCTGGTAGGTGGAACTTGACTTTTAGAAGCACTTGCCTGAGAGAGTTGTGTTTCCACGCTTTGAGGTGCAAGACACGAGTCAACTTAAGTGTCACTGAGTCTACACTGTGCTGAATTTCTGCAGGAGTTTTGTCCTTGAGTAAGGACTAACAATAAAACATTGCTGCAGGTTTTAGTGATTGAAAGATGTCATATTTCTCAGTTTCTAAAGGGAAAAGACTGGATGAGCGAGTCAGTGAATACAGAACTTTTTGTCTTCTGGACTAGTCTCTGCTAGAGACAATTAAGTACTGATTTAACCCTGTTAATGAGAGGATAAAATGTCTGTTCATCTTAATGAGGCTGCTTAGCACAGAAATTTATTCGTAGCTTTTTTCCTAGGAAAATGAAAGCATGGAGAACAATGTTCTAAGAGTTCCCCCCAAACACAGAGAAATATATGGTAGCATCTAATCATGTTTTACAATTCTACTGAACGCTTTGTGGGTAACTGTTGAAAATCTCCATCTATGGGTAGAAAACAAGGGATGAATTAAAAACATGTCTCTTGATGTACTCAGACCTGATTTGCCAGTCCCCTTGTAACACACAAACAAAAATAGATCAGAACACAAGCAGGCACCAGCAGCAAGGATGTCTGTTAATTTTGCAGCCTGACGTTGCATGAATTCTGTTTATCAGAATCTACATTAATCAAGTCCTAACGTTAAGTCAGTATGAACTAGGTGCAAGTGCTTTTTCCTTCTCTTAGTTCTCTTTTGCAATTGATTGCAGAACCACCTCACTGGCAAGCAGAGGTCACCAAGGATGAACTGATTCAGAAACTAAACACAACAGCTAAAAGTGCTGATCACTTGAACGAGCTACTTCGTGAATCAGAAGCAACCAATGCAATCCTAATGGAGCAAATAAAGGTGAGCAGACATGCAGGAGATGTGGGGACAGCTCTGATTTCTGTGGTCTGTTTCTTACACCAAATGTTTTAACACCAAATACGTTTTAGAAAATCACAGTCTGTAAAATTTTGCTGCTCCAAAGCTTAATTTTTGTGGGGGCTTTTATTCCACAAAACTAATTAGTGCTTCCTATATTGACTCCAGGGTTTTTTCACCACAGTTTCTAGTTGGGTGGGATGGCAGGGGAGGGATGGGAGGAGAGGGGTATGGAGTAAAAGCTTCTACAAAAAAATCCACAAGAGTTTGGAACTTTCATGTTTAGTAAAGAGTCTCTACTGTTTTCATTTAGACAAAAGCAGTAAATCCCACGGGAAGCATTGTCTGGTTTCTCTTCCTGTAACCCCTTTTAGCAGTCTTAAGTCAAAAGAAGATACATGTACTGATATTTGGCCTTGGCTTGATTTGATTGTACCTCCCTGAGTTTTCTGAAGACACTTCTGAACTTAGCATATTGTCTAAATATGCTAAGCTTTCTTTCTAAAGTGTTTCTTAATGAATGATAATATCATCAGGTCTCTGATATATTTAACTGTTCAACTCTTACTACTCTTCATCTAATGAGCCAACAGTATGTGCTAGGAGCCCAGAAAGCCAGTGGGATCCTGGGCTGCATCTAAAGGAGTGTGGTTAGAAGGTCAAAAGAGGTGACTCTTCCCCTGTGCTCCGGTGAGACCCACCTGGAATACTGCACACAGTTCTGGTGTCCTCAGCATGAGAAGGACATGGAACTGTTGGGGCAAGTCCAGAGGAGGCCACCAAGTTGCTAAGAGAGTTGGAGCATCTCCCCTATGAGGACAGGTTGAGGGAGTTGGGGCTGTTCAGCCTGGAGAAGAGAGGTTTTGTGGAGACCTCAGAGCAACTTTTCAATATGTGAAGGGGCTCCAGGGAAGCTGCAGAGGGACTCTGTGTTAGGAGCTGCAGGGACAGGACAAGGAGCAGTGGGTTCAAACTGAAGGAGGGAAGTTCAGATTAGATATTAGAAAAATGTTTTTTACTCTAAGGGTGGTGAGACACTGTCCCAGGTTGCCCAGGGAGGCTGTGGCTGCCCCAACCCTGGCAGTGTTCACAGCCAGGGTGGATGAAGCCTTGAGCAACCTGATCTAGTGAGGAGGTATCCCTGCCCATGGCAGAGGCTTGGGACTGGATGATCTGTAAGGTCCATTCCAACCCCTAAATTCTATGATTCTATGATCACTGAAATTAACAGTTAGCACTGAATGTCTTTGTAACTACTGCACAGATTTTATCAAAAGTTAATTTTGATCAGGAATATGCTATTTCTTTACATCATCATCACAGATCCAATTTTCACTGCATTTTTGTCCAGCAGATGTTGCTATGCAGTGTTATTCTTCCTGAAGCAAGCTGTGCAATTCATTTCTCAGCTCTTCAAAAGACCTTTGTTCCATGGCTCATAATAGGAAGCAAACAATATTGCACATTTTTTTCTTTTCATCTGCAGCTTCTGAAGAGTGAAATAAGAAGGCTGGAAAGAAATCAAGAGAGAGAAAAGTCTGTGGCTAATCTAGAATACCTGAAGAATGTTCTACTGCAGTTCATCTTTCTGAAGTCAGGAAGCGAGAAGGAACGACTGCTGCCAGTAATAGACACCATGTTGCAGCTCAGCCCTGAGGAGAAGGGGAAGCTAGTTGCAATTGCCCAAGGTAGGGGATTTTCAAAACATTGTCAAAGTGGATATGTGTCAAACTGAAGTTCTCTGCTTTCTGTTTCATAGACCTTTGCTGAAAAACAAAACTTAGCAACATGATGACAGTGAGGTAACCATAAACCCATTCTGCTTTGTTGGGAACTTGCTGTTCAGTTTCCAGGAAACAGAACAGTCTCAGCTTATGACCATTCCCTCTAGTCCTCTCCTAGACAAATCAGTCCTTGCAAAGTGTTAGGTTTCTTGGATTTTACTAAATGCAAGCTCATTTAAAAAAAACATCCTCCCTACTCACCACATAGAAGTAAAAGCTCTGAATTAACAAAATCACCTTAAAAATGAAAGTGTTGAAGTACTGCATTCCATGACAGGCTTTGCATTTGGAAAGATTAGTTGCAAATCTTGTTGGGTGGTGAGACACTGGCACAGGTTGCCCAGGGAGGCTGTGGCTATCCCAACCCTGGCAGTGTTCAAGGCCAGGCTGGATGAACCTTTGAGCAGTCTGTGAGGAGGTGTCCCTGCCCAGGGCAGGGGGTTGGGACTAGATGATCTCTAAGATCCATTCCGACCCTTAAATTCTATGATCCTAAAGCAAGTCCAGGGTGTTTTGGTGTTGTTCTGGCCCTCTAGTAAAGACTGATTGGATTTTTCTGGAAAAAGATGATAAACAGCCTTTTTGAGACACCCTTAAGTACCCAAAGGAATGTGAACTTGGTGATAACATCCACAAACATGAATTGGATGGTTGGACTTGATGATCTTAAAGGTCTCTTCCAACCCTGATGATTCTATGATAACATATCTCTGGCAGCCCAAGAATGACTTTTCAAGGATTTGAGGACAGCGTAAGGATAAATGCAGGGAGGGTAGGGCAAAGGTCATGCAACCAAGTGATGCAGTGTTTAACATAATAAACTTACAGGATGTTTTTCTTCCTCCTTCAGGTGAGGAAGAGAGTTCCTCACGGCCCTCTGGGTGGGCTTCATACCTCCACAGCTGGTCAGGACTTCGATAGAACAGTGGAAACACTGACTCTTGAAACACATTCCACAGCTGCAAAGAAGAGAAGTCTTACTGCAGAAGAACAATCTGTTGGTGTTGTGGCATTGAACCCACAGGTTTTTAATTCTGTGTGTCATTTTCAGTTATTTAGGCTCTTCTAAGAAGTCCTCAGTAGCTTTGAAAGATGGTCCTGTATCATGCTCTGGCAGCAGTGAACTGATTTTCTCATCAGTGTTAAAGCTGATGATAACAGTGAGAAGTGACCTGTGAGTTGCAAATTGCCTCAAAACAGAGTTTGAAAAAACCTGTGATGGCTCTTTTGATATCTATTTAAAAGCTGATAGAGTAACTGGAATAACTAGACTTTAGATCTAAAGCATTTTCAAGTGTTTACAGTTGCTTTCACATCTTGTTGTCAGCTAATCTATAGAATTAGTGTTATCCTCTGCACATTGAAGAAGTTTAAAATGGAGTTATTTCCTTCTGATGATGCTTACAAAATGTAAGATAATTAAGAAACAGAAAGGGCATTTTCTGCTTTGACTTGACTAAAGTTTTAGTCTGTTAAAACAATTCCTTTTTTTGCAAAAGCTGCATTGAAAACATGAAGGCAACGGTTCACATAATGTAGAGGGGGCAGAAATCTGTATGAAACACAATGCTTGGCACATCTGGGCATGGAACTGGAGTAGAGATTAATGGCATCTCTGGAAGCCTTAGGGTAGTACTCCAATACTCAGAGGTCCTAAGTGAGCTGAAGCTTTGGGAGAAAGGCCTTAAGCTATGGCTTTTTAACCTGAGGTTAGGAGTTTGTGGAAAAGACCAGGAAGAAATGTTCCATTACTGTAGTAATTTCTCCACTTAGCTGAAAAGACTACTCATACTGACTTAGTCAAGTTGAAGACAGTAAAGAAATCATACTGACTTAGTCAAGTTGAAGACACTCTGAATCTGAGCCCATAGGTCACACTCCTAACATTAACTTCTGAAGGAAAAGGACAGAGCTTTTGTCAACAGATTAATCTTTTAAATGTTCCAATGGATGAAGATATTACACCCTTCTCTCGCTTAGCTGTGTGTGCACATGTGTTTTGCACAGATGAGATAATCTGTGTTCCAGGTTACTCAACAGAATGTTATGGTTTTTTTCCCAAGAAAAATAAATCTCTACCACCTCTACTGCTATTATCAACAGAGCACCTTTGTTTCCCTTCAGTTGTCTCCTGCCCTTTACAGTCCATACTGCCTTTCACCAGCCTAATTTATTTGTAAGTTATTAAAATGCATACACATGTGTTTAAACCCTGTCTACCTTTCTTAACCAGAGCCTTTCCATCTTTTGCACTCCCATTTTCATGCTCTCTGTTGCTGTTTTACAGGGAGTCATTCCCTGCTACACAATACTGAATAGGATTCTTCCTTTCCTATCTACCTTAGTTGAGGCTCTGAGGAAATTATGCTTTTTCCTTTGATATTACCCTGTTTGGGGCTAAGATTAATCTGTACATATGAACAGCAGAAAGGTAACACATGTTGAGAATAAACTGTTCAGTAAATGTGCTTTTGGTTTAATTCTTTGCTTCTTGGGTGTATTTCAGTACATAAGAAATCCAATGGGCTTTATTTAGGTATTTTAATTCCTTTCAATTTTAGGCACTTCGGGTTTTTTTCTTTCCCCTCCAATATGTGTTTTAGCTGGAACCTTTTATGGTTTGTGCTACTTAGGGAAAACATTCTCTGTGGACTTTCAGATCACAGAACTGATGAGTAGTAGTGGGAGAGAGGAGCCTTTGAGGTGTCTGTAGGTAGCAAACATGAGGCTACATTTAGGTTTCCTTGTCTTAAGTTAAAAGAAGATCCATGTACTAATGTCTGGTTTTGGCTTGATTTGATTGTACCTGCCTGAGTTTTTTCCAAAGACACTTTTGAAGGTAGTTAATTTGCCTTTGAAATTAATTACCATATCCTTACCATTCACAATTTGCACCAGATCTTGGACATTGAATTCTCACTCCTTATTCACAGCTGGATTTGATTGATGTCACTCCAGAGAATTCCAAAACAGAGCAGGAGGAGAGATTTGAAATATGTATAAAAATAATAGCCAGTCATTCTCCTGCTGTGATGGTAACAATGGGAGCACATGAGTGGCAGGGGATGGCTTTGTCCTACTTAGTTCAAACCCCATTTGCAGCTGAGCTGATCCAGTCTCTGCTATTGCTAAAGAGCTGTGACAAGTTCCTCTTAAAATGCACATGTTTTCAGAACTGTAAGTTATTTAACACTGTAAGCTGTGAATAAATGTATGCAAGTAACATATATCACTGGCTGTATTAAATACCAGCTGCTTATTGACTTCTTTCAAGTCTGAGTTGCATGCTCACTGTTTCTAGTAAAACTTGAGTACTGTACTTATGAATGTATGAACGACTTGCATTACTATTTTATTTTTACAATAGCAGATTGAGATATGAAGTAATGTAAAAGTATTTTAATAACTGCTACTAAACTGTGTTCTAAGACTGCCAGAACTCACCTTTGTGGCAATAAACTGTAAGCAAATATATCAAAGATGAATAGACACTTGCAGAAAATGGCATAGAAGAATGTGGACTGGAAGCAGGATTGTTTTGCTTAGGAAACTTTTTATATGTCATATATTTGCATTTGTAAGGTACAGCATTGTAGCTGTGATTTGCTTTCAAAAAGCAGTTTAAAGTTTTAACTCGTACTGCTGCTTCTTGATACATCCTGGGGTGTTCTGTTGTTGGAAGAGCACTGTGCTGACTTTGCTTTCGAGTTCATTCTGTTTGCTTTCCAATGCCATGTTTGTTAGAATGTTTCCCAGAAAATATCACCCCTGCCCAAAGAGTTTATCAATTTAGGACCAATTTTTATCTCCTATCAGCCTGCCTGCAGCCCAAGGCTAAGGAGGGAATAATAATAATAATAATAATAATAATAAAAAGACTCTGCTGTGACTATGCAGAGCATATAGTAATTTAAAACCAAAAATGGGAGTGATTCAGAGTTCCCAGAGCTGTGTGTGCACTGCAGCTGAGTTATTAATTACCTAATGCTGACTTAGAAATGGGTTCTATGCCTTTCACATCCCCTTTACCCAAAAGGGAGACTCATCTGTGCAAGCAAAACATGCTCCAAAGACTTGTCAGGCTGTTGTATTGGAATCACAGAACCATCAAGGTTGGAGGAGACCTCTAAGATCATCGAGTCCAACCATTAACGTGTCACTGCTGGAACCCCTAAACCCTAAACCAGATCCGCCAGTGTCAGATCCAGATGCCTCTTCAACACTTCCAGGGATGGAGACTCCACCACCTCCCTGGGCAATCTATTCCAGTACATCAACACCCTGACAGGGAAGAATTTTTTGCTAACATCTAATCTGAATCTCACATCTGGATTGGAGTTCAGGAGGGTCAAAGGGAACCCATGTTAGAAATGACAAATGAATCTCCTTCCCCGAAGTATAACTGAGAATCCATGGTTATATTATTTGCTAAATTTATATCTTCCTTTGTCTATCTCCCTCCACCCTTTTGCTGCAAGTGTTGAAGAATCAGCTGGATCTTGGAGGATCTGATCTGGTTTAGGGTTTAGGGGTTCCAGCAGTGGCAGGGTAAAGGGGGG